CTATACGTTACTGCCGCGTTACATTGCTGACAGAATGCAGTGATTTATAATCTAGAGATTGTAAAAAGGATGTAGCACACGCACTGTCGAGTCCAGTGCCAGTGGATTAGAGACCTGCTCCCGCGAGACCCGACGCAACAGAGCGTGGCGCGGGAAAAGATGAGCGAGTGCCACGGGTAGACACTCGTGTGTGTGCGGGATGCGGGAGAAAAAAATTATTCACGGGACTCCCGCAAAATAGAAATATCTAAACATAAAATATCTAAAACAAATAAATTGTTATTCATCTATTGCACAAAAGCAACATGAACTAATATAGACTAAATGAGCAAAATTTATTCTCAATATATAAATCTCTTATGGAAATTAAACCCTTTTGCTTCCATTGGGAGAAAACCTTGTCTTGTAAGCCAGGGGTAAAGGCGTGGTTTTTACAAATTGGGCTGTCCAAATATATATGTGGAAGATCCAAAAATGATTTAATCTGTTTCCAAATCTTTAGAGAGTTATTTATTACCGTATTTTTATTATAAAACCTCGACTCAATTTTTATTGGACTATTCAACAAAGCCTCTAAAGATGTCGTCCTACAAGAAGTTACATAAAGCAAAGTCAGGTAATTTGTCTAAAACCCTTTCAAAAAAACACGGTCATCATAATTAGGACCATACAGGTTAACCAATGTAATAGGAACTGAATTTATTTCACCACAAAATATTATATTTTTGACATGACAACTCTCGGAGGGATTGGGCTGATAATGTACATGACAGTGTTAATGTATTTGGTCTTGGCGGAATAGATCTGTTACGCTGCTGCTGCTGCTGCGGCAGAGCAAGTACCGAGACTTGCTACTGCCAATACATCCACACCATGCTGCTGTCAGCATGTAAGAAATATTGCTGCTGCAAATATAACATACATGAAATAACTCCCATATAGCCAGTGTTGGGCAGTAACGCATTACTTAGTTACGCGTTACTGTAATTTGATTTCTTTTTTAGTAACGGAGTAATTTAACGCGTTATAATTTTCAAAATAGTAATTAGA